GCTTCCTTTGTCTTACCTTGACAAGAGTGGAGAGGACAGAGCAGACTGGTTTCATCCTGACCTATCTTTATCCATGTTTGCATGGATTACTAGCACTGCTCCCACCTCCTCTTAGCAAAATAGAAGAACAGAGCTTCTCTTTGTGAGTGTGGCAGGGATGGGAGTGACTGAGCAAATGCTGGAAGGGGAAGTAAGAGTGTAGAGGCCTTGTTTTTCCAAAGGATGAGGGAGTAGAAAAGGGGAAGTGCTGAAACGTCAACCTCTAAGTTTCCTCACCCTGGGTTATATACCCCTCCCAGTGCAAGTTCTGGTTTTCTAGAAGATCAGATCACCTGGACCAACAGTGCTTGCAAGGAGGAAATAAACTCCACGTTCCAATCTTCTGTTTGATAATGTTGATATACCAAGTAGCAGGTCTGATGCTGGTGAAAGACACAGTGGAGTTGTCTGTTTCTGATAATACGGAAGTTGAAGAGCAGCGATGAGATCTTGCGCATATCAGAACTGTGTAGCCACAGCTCTGGCAGTTGTGTCACATGTGGTTGGATCCATGCAATATGATAATGTTCATGCAATATGATATGTTCATGCTGGCCTTGATACCTGGCTTCCGGACACATGGAAAGTAAATTTAATATCAGTGATTTTTTCTTATTTTGGGGGAACTTCTGTAGCTTGTTGGGCTTAACATTAGGTGTTCAGGTTGTATACTATAGCTTTATTGAAAGAATTGATAGAAATGAAAGAAACCTACTTTACCTAGAGAGCTTACTACCCAATTGTAAGGTGGAGAATGAGTATTTGCAAATTGGGAATACAAGAGTTCTTGTGGATTAGTCAGTCGTATCAGTTTACCAAAGATATCCCAAAGCTACACCCTCTTCTTTTAGTCACTGGAGCAGGAATAGGCTTCTATAAAGAAATGAGATTCTTAAGAACGGCTCTCCCTTACATGAGGAGCATCATATGGTTGAGTGGAAAAATGTCTTGTATAGTGGAGTGAGAGGGTAATTATTAGAGGAATTATTTTTTTTAAAAAAACCAAACCACAAAACAACCCAAACCCACCCACCAAAACCAACAACATTGCTTAAAGCCATGGCTAGAGTATTATGTAGATAACACAATCCTGAGCACTGTGGATGACAAGAGACTGCTATGCCAAGATCAGCATGAGAGTTTTTTAGTAAAAATTAGGAAAGTTTTTGACGAAGAATTGTAATGGCAGAATAGAATTGGAAAAGCTGTGTATAGGTGTAGTGTTCAGTTAATGTGAATGTTGTGTTTGCTTGCATCTGGAGATCTGAAAGATGACAGAGACTTTGTCCAAGGTGCAGAGGTTTTGATTCATGTTCCGGTACACTTACCAGTTGAATATGTCTCCGTGCATCTGTTCTCCAGCAACAGGTTAACACGCCAGCCAGAAATACAGCAGCTTGGATTGTGTTGCAGTAAAGCAGTCAAATTGGTAGCTACAAACATGCTGCTTCTGTGCTACTTCTGTTTTCTTGAATGCTTTTGAGTATGCACAGTATCACAAAGTCACCCAGGTGTTTCTGTTTTGGAGTTAGTAAATGGTCATGCTCCTCAAAACCTATGTGCCGTGCTTTTGGATCAGGACCTCAGGCTTTGTTCCAGATAATTATTGTAACACTTGCTGATACTCTTTTGAATAAATATGCTTGACTCCATCTGATACAGCATTATTGAAAATTTTAGGTTTGCAGCTGTTTGAAAAAAGGACGTACGTGTGTATGTTCCCTCTCCAGCATGAAAATGTAGGCACAGCTTACATCTCTTGAACAACTATCAAAGTAAAAAAAAACCAACTGAAAAAACCTGTTATATTGTAGCACAGAAGTAGTTCACATACAAGTAGGAGGTCTGTGGAAAAGTGGTACAGGTTTGGTCTACGAGAAGTACTTAATTGTGGTTTAAATGCTTTATTTATTTCCGTGGCTGGAAGAAATTAATTTTAGGCATTTGTTTCTCTGTAGGTTTACATATGTTTTTTAATGCTCACTTTTTTTTTTATTCTTCTAGTAGTCAAAGAAGCCCATCACCAGGTCCAAATCATACCTCTAGCACTAGTGCATCGAATTCAACACCTGCACCGCAAAATACATCTGTACGACCCACTTGCTCATTAACACCTACGCTAGCAGCACACTTCAATGAAAATCTTATAAAGCATGTTCAAGGCTGGCCTGCAGACCATGCAGAAAAGCAGGTGAGTGCACTTGTGTTTAGTTCCTTGTGAGAGTGCAAGATGTGTAGCTTAAAATCTGTTTTCCTACACAGGTTGCTTTTTTAGGAATTAAAAGTATTTTAAAAAAAACCAAGAAAACAAATGATGCTTGGCCTTAGCCAGAAAAGAAGAGGGGAGAGAGAAATTAGAGCAAACCTGCAGGTTTTACATGTGATTGCCATTTAGCAGTTGATTATTTTCAGTCTTGCTTAACGTACCAGTACTTTTGAGATTTTCTCAAATTAATAACTATTCTCATAACTATTTTCTCACTGCCAAAGTTGTGTTAAGATTTACAAAAAGCAAAAGTTTCACAAATTTTTATAATAATATTTTTATTATATGGAAAATGTTATGAATTGACAAGAGTTACCAAACTATTTGAGACTACTCCATAGTTTGAGTCACTGAGTTGTTAGTTCCTTTTTCACTGTGCATAGCTCTGCCTTGTTTGTTATGTCCAGTTTTAAAGAGAATGCAGAGGGCTTGGTCTGAATTTGATCTATTTTTACATAGTGGGAAATCCAGTAGAATTGCCATCCATATTTTATAACTTAACTGCATGTGATAATACAGAGAAACTGGATACATGTCAGCTGCTTGGAATGCGTTACTCAAAGGAGCTGTATTGGTTGTCGAGTCTAGCTCAAGTGCTTTCCCAGGCAGCCTTGTCTGACACTGTCTGTGTGGGATATTAATCTTACCCAGCCCAGTTTACTTTGCTCCTTTGAAGAGTGGTTACATGCTGACTCAAACTTACAATGGAAGCTTTTGGGTAGTGAGTTGCAAGATGACTCTTGGAAGTGCAGTCTAGACTGATACCCTATTTGGACTCTGGAGTTCTTGTTTTGTTTCCTCTAAGTGTATTTTTTTTAATTCAATTTTAAGACATTACCGGTGTGTACTGAGTCAAATGACTGAGCCATTGCTGTGGAACGTGTGTTTAAGGAACTGGTTCAGCACAGCCACTTCTCTCTGGCCTTGGCCCATGGTTTTGGTAGTTTTATTTTCACTGTGTACTGAATTGACATACATATTAATGGAGAAAGTCCTGATTTCTGCAGTTCATAAGTTATTTTTCCCCCACTCTCAGTAATAAAGAGATTTTAAAAAAACAGCTAATGCCAGACAGTCATGTATACGGTTGAATGCTTTCACCTTTGTGCCGAGTGTTTGCACAAAGCTGTACTGGCATCTGTTGCACACCACTGCAGTACAAATGCTGTATTGTCCTGTCTGTTAATTCAGATAATTTCACCTGACAATGGTTTTTATAGACCAGTTTTGAATAGTAACACTTGAGGGACTTAAGTCAGGTATTTGACAGAAAAGAAGAAAATGAAAGTGTAGGTGCAACACATAGTGAAGAAGGTGGGTCAGAGAGAGAAAGCAAGAAACCCATGATGATGTGTAAGCACTGCTCAAAAATAGCAGAAACAGTGGTTTGTTACCAACCACTGTCTTGGACATCATTCTAAAACATACCCCCTTGTGGGCTGCTATGAAGAAAATTAATTCCATCCCAGCCAGACTCAGTACAGCAGAGAATAATGCTGCTAAACAGTAATAGTGCAGAAAAAGATCTGTTTGAAACAGTTGGGGATTTTCAGTGTGCCACTTGCAAGAAGTCTGCTTTCCTTATTGCAATGTGAAACACGAGACTTCAGAGTAACTAACTGTTGAGGAATTCTCTGAAGTCGTATATCCAGTTCAGTGACAAGACTTCAAGAAATACACAGATTGGGAAGAGGTTATGCCTTCTAAATTTACACTTCTGCTTGTCTCCACCTGACCAAGTGGAGGCATTAAAAGAATGGAATTTGTCTGAAAGCAAGCACCTGAAGGGGGTTGCAAAGCTGTTTTTCCCTGTATAAAGTAGCTATAAAGAAGGTGATATTCAATTGTTTTTGTCACTAAGGCTTAATTTAGATGGGAAGTTTCAGGTTTGCCATTGAAATAGTGGACAGAAACTTTTTAACTTCTTGAACCAATTACTCTGAGTTCTGTCTCTCAAGACGGTTGGTTGACCATTTGTTAGGATCAAAGAAATATAAATCATCCCTGCATTAGCATCAGCCTAGGTTAGACAGTCTCTTGGCAGCCTGTGTTGTTAATTTCTGATTCTAAATGGGCTTTTGTAGTGAATTTAATGTACTTCTGATTTTGAAGTTAAAGTGCTTTGCTATTTGAAGACACACACATCCACCGGTGCTCTGGCTACAGCCAACGCGTGATTCAAAATCCTAACCTGTATGTGTAACCATTGCAGGCATCAAGATTACGTGAGGAAGCCCATAACATGGGAAGTGTCCATATGTCAGAAATTTGTACTGAATTAAAGAATTTAAGGTCTTTAGTTCGAGTATGTGAAATTCAAGCAACTTTGCGTGAGCAAAGGTAAGTGTGTGCTCTGTGTTTATTTTCAAAGTGGTGTTAGAATTCCCATCCTGACATTGCTTTCTAGGAGCTTGCTTTATTGATGACTTCAAGTATCCTAATACTTGCTAGGATTGAAGGCTGTCTTTCCTTTTACATTCTACTTGTTTACCACACAGATACCTCTTAGTCTTCAACTAATACAACCAGATATGCAGCTTCATAGAGTCATGGAATGGTTTGGGTTGAAAGAGACCTTAAAGATCATCTGGCTCCAACCCCCAGTGCCATGCTCAGGGACACTTTCTTTCACTAGACCAGATTGCTCAAAGCCTCATCTGACCTGGCCTTGAACATTTCCAGAGAGGGGGCATCCACAGCTTCTCTGGGCAACCTGTTCCAGTCCCTCACCATGTTCACAGTAAAGAATTTCTTCCTAATATTTAAGTCTACACTCTCACTACACTCCCTGGTAAAGATCTTCCCTGTAGGCTCCTTTTAAGTGGCAGAAGGCCACTAGAAGGTCTCGCTGGAGCCTTTTTTTTCTCCAGACTGAACAACCCCAACTCTCTCAGACTGTCCGCACAGGGAAGGTGCTCCAGCCCTCTGATCATTGCAGCACAACAGGTCTGTGTTCTTTTTATGTTGAGGGGCCCCAGAGCTGAAGGCAGTACTCTAGGGGGAGTCTCATGAGAGCAGAGTAGAGGAGGAGAATCCCCTCCCTTGACCTGTGGGCCGCACTGCGTCTGGTGCAGCCCAGGATGTGATTGACTTTCTGGGCTGCGAGCGCACACTGCTGGACCTCCAAGTCCTTCTCCACAGGACTGCCCTTGAGCTTCACATTCCCCACAAGCCCCTCCTTGTTGGTGAGAACAAGGTCCAGCAGGGCATGTCTCCTTGGGATTCTTTAGTGAGATGTTGATTACAGCAAAGTAGACTTCTGCTTCTCAAGTCAGTAATAGCGGGTATCGCTAAGGAATCCACAACCACATTGTTGAAGACTGTTATGCAAGACTGAAAAGTTTAGTCTTACAATGCATGCTGAAACTGTCCAGCAGTAGTCGCGACCCTGAATCTCCTTTCATACTCAGTTTCCTTTTTGAATCAAGTTCTCCCATCTCTTAAGTCACACTACACTTCGAATACAGTGATTCGGATTTACTATTTTAAGCTGCTTTAATCACATTGCATACTGTTTAAATAGCTAGCTTCGTGCTAGAAGCTCTTGCTTTTTGGTACTTGATTAAACAATCCTGTAGTCAAAAGTAAGCTATAATATATTTGTAAATCTTGCCTAATAAAGAATCAAAAATATCCATTCTTTTTGAAACTTTATTTCATAACTTGGTTACATAAATTATAATTTCTGTAGTATATTTAATGAACTGCTTGATTTCTTACAGGTTTCATTTCCTAAGGTTTTATTTCTGTCTTTGGGTGCACATTTGATCTGAAATAATGTGTCAAATGTCATTGTTCAGCTCACCAAATTAGTTTCTTGTACACTGTATATCCTTAAGCTGTCAATGCATAATGATTATTATGAATTTGAATCTATGATAACATGTATCTTTTATTTTTGCTGCAATCCCAAAGACGTTGGAATACATGGCATAAGTAACAAGGTGGTGGTGGGAGGCTTTTGCAAAGGATGGGATTATCAAAGCAGATACATTTGAATTATGACAATTTCTATACTTCTGCACAGAAGAGAACTGTTTAAGTTTGTTCAAAGAGGGAACTTTACCTCTAGGCAAAGCAAGTAGATTGTTTTAACCATGACTGACAGCATGTGAAAAAGTTCTTTTCATTTACTTATAAGTTTTATATGCCCACGCCTTTTAAATTTATTGTATTTTTTCAGTGTGTTCATCGTAATCATTTTTCACCTGCTTACCAGTAGAAAATTGATTTTTACTGAGCTAGGTGCATTTGAAAAGTGTTCTACAGAAGTCTGCTGAAGTGTATGCTTTTTCTGCATCGGTTAAGGTTGCTTTGGACCTTACAGAGTTTTTATATGAAACTTCAGCTTTCCCTGAATATATTCTTATTTCAATCACATGCTTGCAATACACCTCAGCATCATGAAAAGTTGTTTCCAAACATTCGTTAAAAACTCTGGGAAACAGTTATGTAAACCAAATATTCATGAATAACAATAATTGCTTATGTTAATTCAGGGAATTGTTAGCAATATAATTTATTTCTTTGCCAAGTGTTTTTCCGTAGATGTCTTTTAGTGATCAAATATCTTGAGATTGGAGTTTACCATAACTAGAGGCTACAACTAGCCACAGAGCCAAATACTAGGAAAGAAATATTGCACCCAGAAGAAAATCATGAGCGCTTTGGATGGTTGTACAGTCTGGAAAAATGCATGACACAGGCATAATATTCTTCAGAATATTCAATTACTCGTCATATTTCCAGTGTTCCGCTTTTTCTGGGAGTTAAATTCAAGTGAAGAGCAGGCTTAAACCTAAGTGTATATCAGTCACAATGATATATAGCAACTTCATTGTCTGAACTAAAATCGCAAACACAGCAGATCTCTTTGCGTCTGCATGTGGTGTTTGTAGGTGATTGAACAGATTTGGAGTTAAAAATACCTGAAATTTACTAACAGAGCTAAGGAGCTTGGTATCCTTCACCGAAATGATAGAAGTACTTGTGTAGATACTTATTTAATATCCCCGCATAATGGAAATGTTTATACTCATTTATTTCTTTTCTCTTGCAGGATACTATTTTTGAGGCAACAAATTAAAGAACTTGAAAAGCTAAAGAATCAGAATTCCTTCATGGTGTGAAAAGTTGTAAACAATTGCACATGGTTTTGAGTACAGGAACTATTAAACTGTTGCCCAGTCTTAACATTTTTGAGCTGCATTTGAGTAGACTTTGGACCGTTGAGCTGGGCAGAAAAAAAAGTTGACATGGGGAAGGGGACAGGAGGGAGTCAAATTCAGGGGAAAGATACAAGAATGATTTGTAAAACCCTTGAAATGTAGATTTCTTGTAGATGTATTCTTCACGTTGTAAATATGTTTTGTAGAGTGAAGCCATGGGAAGCCATGTGTATCAGAGCTTAGACATCCAAAACTAATTAATGCTGAGGTGGCTAAATACCTAGCCTTTTACATGTAAACCTGTCTGCAAAATTAGCTTTCTTTTTTTTTCTTTCTTTTTTTTTTTTAGTTAATTTATCGTTCAGAAATCTCGCTTTTCCTAAAATTCAATGCAAGCGCCAGGCGATCTGTGTCTAAGGCTGCAACAATTTGGGTAATGTACAAAATATCATGAAACAACTGTTTCCACACTTGCACCAAATCAAGAGCAGTGCTTCTCCATTTCTGTTTTACAGAGAAATGTTTTTCATTTTCTGTGTTCCATTTCCCCGTGAAATCCTAAATCTGATTTTATCAGTTTTTTAATGCTTCTAATTTTCTCTTTTCTTAAGGCACTGTTGCTATGGCACTTTTTCTATAATCTTTTCATTCCTGTGTACAGTAGCTTAAAATTGCAGTGATTGAGCATAACCCACTTGTTTGTATAAATTATTGAAACGTATTTCCATTTGCACCCTGTAAGAATGGACTTATAGTACTGCTGGGCATGTGTGCTGAAAGTACATTACTTGCTCAAATATAAGGAAATAGCCCAATGAACATGTTATCATGGTTGTGGGAGGGGAAAGAGGAAAAAAAAAAAGCTAGTCAGATGTGAATTGTATCTGTTGTAATAAACATGTTAAAACAAAGAAACACTGGTTTTCATTTCCTTTGGTCAACACATTAAAATTTGGTCTGTTTGGGGACTCTTTATTAGAACTGTTCTTGTTGAACATTTTTGTACTTAAATAATTCCTCAAGGGAGGTTTTGTTTAAAACTTGTAAACAGGAAAATGTGTATAAAATATTTAAAGAAATATAAAATTCAACAAGAACGATTTAAGACAACTCCCCAACAGTTGTCATATGTTAACTCCTGGTTTACCTGTCTTGATATTATGACATTTCATTTTGAAGGATGTTTGTGTTGTAGCTAACTGTTTAAGTCTGGTGCTGACTGCTGTTCTTAACCATCACAAAACGCTGAATTTGTGTAATTGGAGCAACCCACCGTTTGAAAATGGTGGCAAAGCTCAGCTTTGTATATTGTTTCCTAAAGTATATTAAAAATAAAAAAGAAACTATTGCTACTACAAAATAAACGTGACTTTTTTTTTTGCTTAAAAACAACAACAAAAATAGCGATGGCAGTGCTAGATTAAGATTTCCAGAGAAATACATATTACAGTATTCTGTTAAGTATGATTGTAGGTGATGGATAAAAAAAAACTTAATAAGGGCGTTGGCATGTGATGCTACATGTTTTGATCCCAAAAAATACTGTCTTTCAGCACCAGAAACATGACTTGATTTTTATTTTGCTTTGTTCTGTGTTGAGTGGGCTCAGACTGACCTGTAGAAGTTTTTCATCAGTGGAAGCCGAGTGCTCTGTCCTAACAAGACACTGCAAATGAAGCAACTTGAAATAACGTTAACTAACAACAAGAACTGCAAAGTCAGGACAGATTAACTTGTAATTATTCCTTACTTTTTGACCCAGTATGTGCTTTTGTGTTTTATACCATGCATATGTTTGGTTTTGCTCAGCAAATGGGAATAGAATAATCTTGAATGAATTAATTTTAACAGATTCTGTGTTTTTAGAGACTTGAGGCCAAGTGACAGAACACTTCCCGAGACTCACATATTTGCATGTTGTCTTGAGATTGCCCAAGTGTGGGGAAGTAGCATGTGAAATGGATGGACATACAGGTGGTCTTTCACCAGTGGTTGTCCTTAATTCTGATATTGTGCTGTTTAGTTAGAAATATAGAAATAATATAGATATGCTGGGTCTGTTTTCCACAAGCTTATTTTATTTCCCTTGGATTCATATAGTGCCCTCTAGTATCATGTATCAGGGAGCTTCACAAGTTAATTTTGTTCTGTGGAAATTTACTTTGGATTAGTTTTTTTAAACTTCTGTTTTGAATATATACTTAGCTGCTGCCTGTTGATGTTACTCTTCATGGTTTTACAGAAGAGTCTCTTCCAGCCGAAAGTCTCTTTTATCACATGAAAACTGTCATAATGTACATATGGTCACAGATAACTTGGGAGTAACAAGGATTAATGTGCTTCTTTAACCCCTTAAAAAATATATGCATGCATATACATACATCACACAAAGATACACTTTCTTTCCGCAGGTAATGTCCTCCCAAACTGATGCAATAAAGGCTACTCCTTTGCCAACATCAAAATGCATACTGAAGGCTGGTTGGCTTCTGTATTTGCCCACCAAGAAACAGCTTTTCCTCTCCATCCTCCACACCCTCCCAAAACCTGGAGCTGTTGTTAGCCGAGGAGGCACAGCTTGCCAGACTGTCACGAGCATCCAAGCAAGTTTGGGGAAGAGGGTTGCAGGCACTGCTTTGAAGTAGACACTAACTGAATGGCAGGATCTGGGTTAATGTCATTCAAAATGTTTTCACTAACTTGAAAATGCAATTTTGGCCTTACTGTGTGGTCTGGAGACCTTCACTGATGTGCAGAAACTGGCCCTCTGTGTAGTGCTTGAGGTGGTAGAAAGAAGCCCAAATTTTTCTCCTTCCTGTCAAATCTCTATCTGAAGCTGGACAACAAACAGGTGCACTGAGACCTGTTACTAGATTACCATCTTATTTATTATCCCTCCTGAAACTGATGCTGTCCTTTCAAATGTAGTTGACATTGTTTAGTGAAAAGGGCTTTAGTGGATTGGTCTGCATCTGAAAGTCCTATCAAGTGAATCTTCCCTGAGGCAAATCTCGTTTTCTTCCTAGGCAGTGTTCAGAAAGTGTTTATTGAGAGTTGTGGGATGTTTTCTATAGTAATTACTTAATATGGATGGTCAAGGAATAGTGATGAGAAACTGATAAAATAATTGTTGTTACATACGATGCTCTTGGTTTTCCTGTTACGCATTTGCCGAGACTGTTCAGGAGAATAAACAGTCTTTAGAATTACTTAAGAGATTGACTGAACCTGAACAGCCATACCGCAAGCTGTGCGATTGGTGGAGCGTTTCATCGTCTGTGGTGGCACGCGCAAGAACTCCAGCAGAAAAAGGGGCTTTATCTCAAACCATGTGACTGATCCAAGGGACTCCCGTGTTTGAAGCTTTTACAGTTGCACATTACCTTGCCGTCACCTCTTCGTTCCAGTGTCATCTTGCCTGTGATGACATCCTGCCAACTTACCAAAGCAGAGCCCTTTGCTGGAGTGGCCAGGTTGCACGGCTGCTGCAGGGAAGGAGGTATGTGGCCCAGTGAGGCATCGCTCTGTCACGCTGCCTTGGGGACGTTCCTGAGAGAGCCGTGCATAAAGGGCAGCTGCTTACTCTAACCCTAAATTAGGGTTAGACCCAGAGCTGCTGGGTCATATGGCAGCTGTGCTACATGGCTCCATACACCAGGCTTGGCACACCAGGTTTGCAAATGTGGCTTGAACAACCTTGATCTTTCTGGCAGTTATTCAATATGAGTGACAGTATTTTGTCACCTCGTGTGAGTCACGCGTGACAGAGAGCATTTGCAAAGGGATGCCATCTATTCCTGCATGCAGCGCCATGCTCAGAGGTGAGTCCCTTCACTTTGAAATCTCAGAATTTTGGCTGAGTGCAAAGTATACATTAACATGGTGAAGCTCAGAATGGTCGGTTATGCTCATCTTCGCTTTACGTTACAAGAAAATGCATCCACTCAATTATGGATAATACTGTCACAGTCATCTGCACCAGTAGCTAGAATGGTGCAAATCACTTAGATTGACTCTCTCCCTCTTCCCAAAGTTCTGAAGTTGGCACATGGAGATCTGTTAGGATGTTGCCTTTCAGAGCTCTGAACAGCTTCCTTCTGCCTGCCATGCTTGCCATGAAGTTCTTACCTGCTTCTCTGTACAAAAAAATTGTGATTGGATCTATTTTCTGTGTAATAGGGATGCTGTAGGAGTTTGACTGGGGTTTGTGTTCTGCTAGATGTGTCCTCCGTAGCAGCGGAAAGCAAAGAGACCAAAGCCTGGGGCAGATGGTGCTACAGAAGGTGAATGTGTTGTCAGCAAGTCTGGTCGACTCGATGGTGCCAAGGGGCTCTGATAGCCTTCCGCTTCATCCAGCTTCCTTTATCTGCGGCTCTGCATCCTTGGAGTAGAGACTTTTTCTTTCTTTCACATATGAAAGGTTTAATCGGACATTTTCTTCTTGTCCAGGATTCAAATCTAAGTTAACTCTTCTGTCTCTTTTTGTTAAATGGGAAAGCTATTAAACCACTGACAGCATGTCACTGTCTTCACTTGCTAAATAAAAAAGTCTTTTTGCTTGCAATAATATTGCCAGTAGAAGCATGGATAACAATGCTTTTTTTAGAATAAAAATTCTCAGAGTTCACTTTGACCTAGGACAGTATCTAAATTTCACTTTTTTTTTTTTTTTAAAAAGTGTATTTTGTTCTCATGTCCCCTGGCATCTCCTCACCTGAACAATTAGAGATGGGAGGCAGGGGCTATGTGTGCACAGGGTGCATATCTGTCACACATAGTGATAGCGCAAGTTGAGTTGAGAGGCGTCCCCGCCCACGGCAGGGAGGTTGAGTTAGATGGTCCCTAAGGTCCCTTCCAGCCTAGGCCATTCTATGATTCTGCAATTCTATGTAGATTTTTAAGGACTCATGTTTTCTTCATAGGTAGTTTCCTTGAAAGAATTGCTCAGTGAAGATGAGGCTTCACAGAGTGGGAGAGCTTATCTGACACCTGGGTCCCTGCAAAATGAATAGACCCTTCTTTATTGCTTCCCTGCTCCCGGTGATGTGCTCATGCTGAGTCTTTCTTGCCAGCCCTGAGACAGTTGAGCAAGCAAAGCCACACCAGAAACCTGCTTGGTGAATGCATCTGCTGACTCCACAAGCTGAAGAGGCTTGTGCCAAGGGCAGGGCTGGTACCTTCTTGTGTTGAAGGGTGGGTCCGAGTAACTCTCTGGGCAGCAGTAAGGTCAAATGGTAAGGACTACCTCTTCTTAAAACTCTGAGGTAGATCTGCAGGGTGACAGGCTTGGGACACAGACACTGCTCTGAGTTAGGCACAGTTCAGTAGGGTTTGGATGCATATATGCTTTCATGTGAAAATTTCATCTCCATGAATGCTTATCTGCTGTGCAGCTGAACCCGTTTCTAACCTAACAAACTGCCACATTAACTGCTACATGCATTTTCAACTGAGCATGAGTAAAGGTCTAGTTTTCAACCATGGTCTCAATAATACATTTGAAACAAAGCACCCATACCACATCTTTAGTAGGTTTGGAATATGAATGGAGGAGTGTCTCCAAAAAGATGATATTCCTCTTCAACTATTACTCCCCGTTAAACTAACACTGAGCTGTTATTCTTGCCCTGGATGTCTTCTTTAGATACCAAACGTCTCTCAAGAATGAGGAAAAATCAGCTCAGCTGTCCTCATCTGCCATGTGAGGAGTTTGGAGCGTTTCTTGAACTCCTAAGCTGTCCCATGAGGAATTTGCAGGCTTCGCTGTGGGAGCCGTGTGACCAAGCACGTGTCCTTGCTGTGGGTCCTGAGCAGCCTGCCAGGCTGGGGGTCTCCCACGGTTCCTGGGCCACCTTGGTTGCGTAGCAGACCTTTGCCTTGTTGCTGCTACATGGAGAGATGCAGGCTCTTTCTCTGCATGTGCTTTCTCTCTCTCTCCAAACAATCTGCTACACTGCTGTGGTGGCTGAAGATGTGTTTGGTGCCTGCTCAGGGGAGAACCTGGGATCTGAGCTGGTCCAGCACTCCTCTGGCTCAGCAGACTGGAGCTTACCTGATTTGTGGCCTGGGAAAAAGCTTCTGCGTCATCTGGCACTTCCTTACTCA